CCTAAATGTACCATGCAATGCAAGGAATCCCCTGGGGTCTGTGTTGTGGTTCACATTAATATTCTAGCGGTGTGGTGTGGATTTGTTGATGTGATGTTGAATCATCCTCCTCTTCCACTCTTGAGGCATTTTCTTGATTCCTCTACACTTCACCAATACCCTTTTTCTTATTGTTTTCTAGTCAATGGAGTTTCTTCATTTTTTTAATCTTTTAAATTTTGTAACAACTGAGATCTATACACTTGTAGCTTCTACTACATAATCATAACCCTTTGAGATATATCAACATTACACTTTTTTTAACACACATTATTTGTTTTTTATTATAATTTATTAAAATTCTAACAAAATTATAATTTTGTAGCATTTAGTAAATTTTAATTAATAATAAAAATGCGTTTCTTAGGTGAGCTTCATATTGGTCTTGCAGGTTTCAACTCGATCTTATTTGGAATTTTGAAAAAAAGTAGGAAAAATTTGTGTTTCTGCTATGAAGACAAAATATAGAAAGATTGGTTATTTTATTTATGAATTGGGTAAAAACTTTTTAGATATATTAAATTATTTCTGGGTCTTCACGTGCGTAATCAGTTAAATTCTAAAATAATTGATCCTTGGTATTAGAATATTCATTACCTACTGTTTTAAGCTTACTTAAATTAATCTGTTATCACTTTCCAGCACAAAATAGAACAAATAAAATTCTTAGTCTCTTTTACCTTTCAAAGCGGTATTATTCCCATATAATAAATTCAATTTACTTTTGCATTAGAACACGTGGGTTGAACCAGTAGATAAATTAAAAAAAAAATAATCAAAATTTCAATATGGAAAGATAAAAACAACGTAAAATCACCAAGGTTTGGTGAATATGAAAGGAAATTTCCTTACAAGTTATCAAATATATTTAAAATAAGAGCATGGTGTGAACTTGGAAAGACAGTTTTATTTGGGCTCAATCATTAGGCCACTTGTCCCTTTAATATGTTTTGTCTTATGCCTTGAACAAAGACCTTAAAGAATGAATGTCTTGAGCTTCTAAGAGATTGGTTCAAAATAAAATGGCCAAAACGCTGACACACTTGAAACCTTGACCAAGTTGATGTTGTTGTGTGTTCATGTTAGGCAAAGACCATGACTTGGACCTAAATCTTTTTTTTTTTTTTTTGCTCTTTGAATTGGTCAAAATCAAAACGACAACTTCTCAAAATTTGCTCTTAATTATGAGTGTCTTGTTGGCTATTGCCTAAACGACAGATACTCATTTCATAAAGGAATCTTATATGCTTTTGATGTCATTGTTAGAGGTTCAGCTTCAATTGTCTTCTCCATCTTTCTTCTTGCTTTAACAAGTAGTGTTGCACAATGCATGGCATGCTTAAGAATGCAACAAGTGTAGAATCTTGGTCAAAATTCAAGTTATGTGTCTTTTGCCCCCTCCTTTCCGCTGTCTGTTAAAGCTAAAAGATTTTTGTTGTCTCAAACTTCAAGGTCATTTTAATCAGTTTTTTACACTACTACCATTTCATTTGTCTATAACTAGAAACACCTCAAAGTTAGTGAACACCTATTAACCTCGATGAGAAGAAAAAACTTGTCAATTAGAGATTATTACAAACCCCAGATGATTTTTATCATATACAAATAAGTTTCAAACCTTAATCATTAAAGATGACATATTAGGGTCTCTTTGAAATGCTAAATTACTTGTTACTAATCATGGTCTAATTTGAACAAAAAACACAAGTCAATAGGTAGAAGAGGAAAAAGGTATAAAATGTTGAGTGGCTTAGCCGCTTGGACTCTTGGTCGTAAAGCATCTTTCGAAATTAGTTTGATGGACACGGACAATGATTATAGTATTAGCTTTTTAGACTACAATCAATGGTCGGAGTAAGAAGTAGGAAGAACAAAATTGATGGCAAAAAAGAAAGGAAAACAGACCAAAAAGAGAAAGGAAACTAAGGAATAAAAATATAGATGTAGAAAGATAAAGTAGCAGGTGGAATGAGGGTGGGCCTCTATCTTTTTTATACTTGAGAATGAGATTCAATTTGGACTTAAGAACTATTGGGCTGGGCTGGGCTGAAACTAGAAATTGAATTGTTGGCCCAAGTTCACTAGTAATATTTTTTATAATTGCGAAGTCGTCCTTACATTGCTCAGCATGTTTGCTAGCACCACAAGTAAGAGGCAATAATTGCTATTTACACTCCCTTTTTGCTTATGCACTCCTTCTACTTTTTTCTTCCCCTAAAGTAACCTCAATTCTTTGGTATTGTCACAGATGTTCGATGTGTTATTTATGTCACTGAAGTTTTAGAGCGATGAACTAGTCATGCAAAACAAGACAACTTAGATACGAGTGAAATCAAATGATCTATTATTGTAAGGTTGATGAACATTCAAAACACAAAAAAGGTGCTGCTTTCAAATTAGAGTATATTTGAAGAAAAACAGAAATAATAATAGAATTAAGGTTAATACAATAGGAGTAAATCATTATGCGTGCATTTGAGTATTGCCCATGTGAAATATATGCTTTGCTGTTTTAATGAAAAGAAAGGCGAGGGCATGGTGAGAAGCGTGTATTTTTTTTATTTTTTTTGGGGGGTAGGACAGAGAAGAATAGAGTATACTTGGAGAAAAAGAAGAAGAAAGGGGAGTGAATAAGTAAGAGAGAGGAGTATAAATAGTAACTTCCGTAGCAGGCACATGCAGCACGTTCCAGAGTAAAGTTTCTAGTTTTGAGCCCAAATGGTTGTTAAGTCTAGAGTAGACGATCTTATGCTCTGGCCCAATGGGTTAAATTGTTAGCAGTCTAGGAAACGGGTTAGCAATGTGTTGGCCCATTTTAAATATGCAGATTCTAAAGTTTAGAGAACTTTTTTGTTTACACTTCCTAATTTACTAAGCAGGTCACCTTTATATGTATATATGTTTGTTATTATCAAGCTACTCTTTTAACAAAACAATTGTGATTTTTTTTTTCCAATAGTCACATCCTTTATATTTAATATAAAATGATAGTCACGTCCCTCAAATTTTTTAATCGATATTTACCTTCATTATATTTACAATAAATTACATTTATTCACTTCATACTTTTAATAAAGTAACTTTCATCTTGCCAAATGAATGATTTAATTATAAGAAAACTCTAATAGTATTTCTTAAGAAGGGCACGCATTATGATAATAATTGTTAGTTATTTATTGCTGTTTAAATAGTAATATAATTTAAATATAGAAAAGTTATTATTATTATTTAAAATTAGCTTAATTCATACGAGAAAAAAATCTAATCAAATTTACTAATTTTTTTGTGATTTTATATTAGTTTAATTAAATTTCAAATTTTTTTAATGCATCTTACTTTTAGACTGTTTTCTGGATGTATGATTTAGTTGACTAGTTTGGTCTAATTTTGAAAACAATAAGTCAATATAATTTTTCAAGTTATTATTACTTATTGTTGGGGAGAATAAAAGAGAATAATTCAAGGAAATAAATAGATAGTATTTCTTTTAGTTCAAATGACTTATTCACATGTTTAAAAGAAATATTATTTCATAACTTGCCCTCTTTATTATTATTCTGTGGTAGATACAATTTTAATTAATTAATTAATTAATTATATATATATATATATATATATATATATAATTATGTTATTTGAATTAAATGCGATACACATGAAAACTATTATAATAATTTAATGTGATTAATATTTTTTTAAAATATGATATTATTTTATTAAGTTAAATTTAATTAATTTTCGAAAAAAAAATTAGGATAGAAAATTATTACATGCTGAATAATAATTTAAAAAATGAATCTTAATTATTTCATTCATAAAAAATGAATTAATAATAATAAGTAATTTCATAGTTATATATCTACTCAGTTTTAATTCTTATAATTATTAGTTTTTAAATAAATAATTTTAGTTATTTATTTCCTTACAATTTTAGTTATTACTGAATTCTTTTATGATGTAAAATAACCATAATTTATTTTTAATATTAAATTTTAAGATAATTATCATAGGAGTTGACAAATATGTTATAATTGGAGTTAATAAATATATTATCGCTGGAGTTAACAAATATGTAGGAAATTATTCGTTTCATTCGAATTCTAATAATAGATAAACGAAATAGAAGGGCTAATTTTTAAAAACCATAAGTCTGATATTTTTCAATGTTACCTTCCAAGAATGCTATAATGGCATTCCAGATCATGGTTCATCCATTTCAAATAAGGAAAATGTTTGATGTAAACCCTCAAATTCCAAACACCCATCCAACACTTATAATTTTCTGTTTTTGATTTAAATTTAAAAATGATAAATTAGTTTTATAATAAAATTTGAGAGTGAGAAAGTTGAATAGGTGGGTTTAATTAAATTTTTTTAATAGTACCCTTAAAAGAATAACCTTAGAAATGATAATTGCATATACACACGAAAGCAACAGGAGATGTGGAGGTATAAACCAGAATAGGTTTCATTGGAAACAGAAGATGAAAACGAGAGAAAACATAAACAGGTGAATTAAGTTGAATCATGATAAACAGCGAAAGAAACACAATAGAGGCTGACATAGAAACAAGAGTCAATTCCCGAACCACAGCACACTTACTCAGTAGTGAGACCATGGCCTCACTACAAAGTCCAAAGGTACTATCTGGTGCGCTCTTGACTCCCTCAGTCCCTCTACCTTCACACACATAAATTCATGCCATTGCACCTTGTTCCTCAATTCTTACACACATCCATTAATAACACCTTACTTTTCAAACACACTTCCCTACCTAATCCCCACACAAATCCATCTTTATTTTAAACCATTCTTACCCTCGTTATTGCTTCCCCCATCATTTCTAGTTCTTCATTCTTCTTCTCTTCACAGTAGTTCCTCCTGGCCACAACTACAAGCTCATAAATCCAAAAGGGTACACAAAACTCGGGTAAAAAAACCATTTGAGTGACTTTTGATTTCACTGCTTTGGAGGTGCACTAATGGTGGGTTCAGCACAAAGGAAATTGGTGCCATTCTCATTGCTACTAGAAAGAGCTGCTTCAATTTGGTGCAAGGTGTTGCAGAGGTGGTTGTTGATGGCCGTGACACTTGAGAGGTTGAGCTTTGCAGAAGGGATTGTGCTGGCGAGAACTTGGAGCCCCATGGTTAGGAGGCAACCTGAGTTGAGAGATGGAGGCTCTGAGGAGTTAGCATCGATGGGTGTGTCAACGTTGGATGATGATAGCATTGGCACTATCATGAAGCCTTGGGGAAGAAGGGCAATGCAAGAAGGGTCCTCACCACTCATGGCTAGCTGGATGGAATCCACATCAATGGTGGTGTACACTACCAGGCTTCCAGACTGGTCCGTGCAACTCTCTTGCAGCATTAGCTCTACGTTCTGGGATGAGTTGCTTGCTACCTGCATATATATACATATATATGTAACAATAATCTGAGGCTTAGAATAGAAAACCTTTAAATTTTTTTAGAACTAGATTATTCACATCATCTAATCACTTCTTAAAATTGAAGCTTTTTCAACGGGGTTTATGCTATGGAAGTGAAACTCAGGTTTTGAAAAATATATCTTAAGCTTCTATAACGGTGCATTTCTTAACTATTTTGTTGGAGTAGAAACTTATAGAAACATATGATTTGATGCATCACATGTCTCCATTTTTCTCTCCTTTCCTGTCCCTCCAAATAAAATGTGACAGGTGAAAAAAAATGAAAATAAAATTATCTGAAGAATAGAGTGTTGCATTTTAAGTAAGGGTCAAAACCTCACAATCCAAATCACCACTTTTTTTTGTACTATTGGAGAGAGACAAGAAAGGGACAAGAAACAGATGATATTTATCGTACAGCAAGATTTTGTTTGGCAATGATCTTACATTTATGCGAAGGAGTGAAATGCAGTTTCCTGGATGTGAGCCATTTGCAATATGAGCCACTTCATTCAATGAGTTCCCATTGGAAAGAGCATCCATCTGCCAAAACACAGATGAAAAGTGCATCCATTGGCAATGATCTCATCAGTTAATCGTTAGAATGCTATGAATTAAGAGTTGAAAATTGATTTGCAATTAGTGATACATAGAAATTTGAGAGGTGAGAAGTGGGGTTTGCGCTACCTGAGATCTGTGTCGTTCGTCCCTGAGGAGATCAAAGACCCTGGTATGAGAATAGGGCAACCAAGTGGTTGAGACAGCACTTAGAATCACACCATTAGGTTGGCCAGGTTCGGTGATTTTCCTAGTTGTGATTCTAACTGTGTCTTCAGGGGAATCTGATATGGCTGTCCACGATTGACCACCGGAGGTACTCATGTTAAGGCCAAACGTTTTTATCATTCTTTGGGCTAGCTTCATCAAGTTCTTTCGCGCTTCTGGCGAAGGTATCACTGCAATTATAGTACAATATATGTGTCACAAGTTAATTGATGTCATATGTATAATTATTATAAAAAGAGAGAAAATACAAATTAAAAAGGGTCAACTAGGTGTATAAACTCTAGGAACGTTCATGAATCATTACTTATATTTGTTTTGGTGCTTTCCCTAGACAAGATTTATGTGTTTCATACGATCATATCCACAGTTTCCTTGTTAATTATTACGCTAAAATAACTTATTGAGGTTAATGCATGAGAGAAGATTTTGAGAACCTCCAAGATCTGATATGTTTCTGGCCATGAGGCTCGCGACCCTCTCGCATTGTCTCTGCAAAACTCCTAACCAACGCTGTGCTCCGAATGCCATTCCACTGTACACATAGTTGCTGAATATCTGATGCACTGGTTTCTCTTCTACTTTTGCATGCTCAACCCATGTTACCTGCACAGAGAAATGACATAGTCCAAACAGAACAATGAAACTAGACATGCATATACGCCAGAAAATGCTGGAAATGAAATAATTAGAAGCACAAGTTTGTAAACATTGGGATACATAACAATGCTTTTTAAATAGGGCTAGGACTTAATTACCCTTGAATACCCATTTGGCATATCTTGAATCACGCACCCAGAGGATCTCCTGCAATATCTTGGATAAGAAGGGTGAAAATTTTGCTGAAAGCTGTCAACAGGAAAATCAACAATGGCCCAGGTTCCCTCCTCAGCATTTTGTTGACAATAACGAAGAAAATGAGTCTCGCGAGTGGACACCAAAGGAGAAAGAACTTGAAATTCTGCGTACATCTATAAAATACAAGTATATATTAATAATCTACCAAAATTATATGACGCTAGCAATAGAATATGAATAATGATTCATAGACAATCCTTATCTACCAAACATCCCTCCAACAATCAATTTTAAATTTTTATATTATTATTTATCTGCCCTATTTCTTGCTTTTTTTTCAATCGATAAAAAAAAATATTATTTGAAAGTTATATATTAAATATTCGGAGAATTTTGAATGTCAATTAATCTTTTTCCATTCAATATTTACCCAGTTATGTGACACTTACCAGCTGAAGAGTTCCGGTTGCATGGCCAGAAGCACCAGAAGATATGATTTGGACAGTTTTTGCCCTAGACACGATGGTAGGAAACAATTCCATCCACTTTTGCTAAAATGTGAAAGGACAAAAGTCATCAGAAAACAAAAGCAATTAGAAGGAAAAAAAAAAAAAAAGCTTCCATTATAGTCTCGGAGATTGTGGGTTTAACTTTACAAAACTTAAAATTTTTCAGACTTTTTAAAATGCTACAAAATTCCATTTACTTTTATTTTTATTGTTACTAAAATGTACAGTTGAGAGACATTAAGGTAAATGATACTTTTACAAATAAGAAATTGTATTTGTATAATTTGGTTTGTGTAATTTTCTGTACAAGAAAGAAAGAAAGAAACAGCAGCAGAAGACGTTAAAGTATTATTTATCTGAAACAGTGAGGGAGAAAAAAAAAATATCAAAAGTGATGAAAAAAAAAATGTACAAAGCGAAAATTCCGATAAAAGATTAAAGTGAATGAGACAACCATTTTTCAGATCAAAGAGAAGGGTTTAATCAGAATGAAAAAGGGTGTTAAAAAATTCAACCGTCACACTTACACAATCAAGGAAAGCATCAACAAGAGTGACGCTATTCATTATAACCACAGCAGTGTCACGACTAGCTTCAGTCCTCATTTCACTTCGGTGCTTGAGATTCCGAGGCCAAGAAAACATCCTCGCGTGCTCTTCAAAATTTAGCACTTCCCTTTCACCCTCACTGCTTCGAATCCAAAGTGGCTCGTTTGTCTGACACATCTTCACAAGTTCAGCCATGGAAGTTGCCGCTAGCTCTAAGGCTAGAGACTTCTCTTCTTCCACTAAGACTCCTCCACCCTCAGAAAATGGTGAAGCTTCGGGAGGCAACATTGGCACCGGAATCATTTCTGTGCAAGGAGCAATAGGATCCCCAAAGTGCCTAGGATATATGTTCATATCCAAATCCAATGAAGGGGCCATGAGAGTAGGACCTCCTGCCATTGTTTGTAATGAACGCCCAGTGTACCTTGAAGTGAGGCAACACACGCGTTCTAACTGCAAAATTAACATTCACATTAATTGTAAAATGTAAAGTTTAAGTTCACATAACTTAAAACTCTTTTAAGAACAAAGTAAAACCTCTATTTAGGGTTTAATTTCTGTATACATAATTAATTAATCAAAATATATAACTTTTAATGTATTTATTATAAAAGCTAAACGTTTAGACCCTTTTTTTTCAACTTTTAACCATCCTTTCCAATTAAACTCAAGTCCAAAATCTTAAGACAGTTTATATATGTATATATAGCAAAATGAAATTTGAACAAATACGTATCATACCATAATGTTCAGTGTGATTCCCAAAGAGAAGTGTTTGAATTGAAGTAATGGTAAAAAAATATACCTCTTCTCTTAACCGGGCATTTTCAATGCGAAGTTGGTGTTCATCCAAACCCAGATCAGCACCCATTATGCATGGGCCACCACAATTGGGACACATAACGTTACGCAGTGCAGCTTGTAAACGATAGTTCTCACTCTTTAGAGACTCATTCTCGGCTCTAAGTATGACATTATCTGCCCGATCTTGTTGTGCCTATGTCCCAGAATCGATCAAATCAAACATGAATTAATTGTTAAAGCAAAACAACCTAAGATTCTTCCGTATGTTTCATAGTCTTACAACATTATAGTAATGAGGGTATCTTGATGATTATAATTCGTGAAATCCTACAACATAAATGCCTTTAAAATTTATGGTGGAGAAAGAGAAGACTGAAGACCCTTCATCATTCATTCAAACCCTAAAACCGCAATGATAATAGCAATAAATATGAGTACCGTTTGAGACCACTTGTGACAGGTAGGGTTTAATGCGTACATTAATGGAATACAGACTGTATGATGGACATACCAAGAACCACAAGTAAATGAGAGTTTTCCACTCTTCCTTTTCTTTTATTTATTGGCATATATGTATATGATAGTTTTTTTAATCTATTTTCCTGCTATGTATTTATCTCTCACTGGCTATGTAGCTGTTTATTAGGGCATAGGAAAGTTTTAATGCAAGGCAAGGGGACGCGGTTTCATTGGGAAACGTGCTAGTAGTATACGTTAAATTTAATGGGTGGAATTAAGAGCATGTGTACAGTTTAGGGTTTGGTTTTATTATTTTAAGGTGAAAGTAAACGTTTTAATGGAAGCTGAGAAGAAGCATGGTAATTAAGTTTCAGCGTACCTTCATCTGGGTTCGACGGTTCTGGAACCAGAACTTAACCTGGCGCGGTTTCAGGCCCAATTCATGGCTCAGTTTAAGCCTCTGCTTATCATCTGGGTGAGGACATTCCTTGAACAAACTGCCAAAGTTACATTATTCATGCAACAAACGATGAACAACAGGTTAAAATCTTCAATTTCCGTTTCATCGCAAGAAAACAAAAGAGAGAGAGAAGAATAAGGGAAAGAGAAAGAGAAAGAGAGATCTAGGATCATATAACATATTCTCACGCTTCCATTTCTTGGATCTGGCGAGCAGTGTGCCTGTGATAACGTTTCTTCTTTGTGGGCTGTTCACTCTCTTGTTCATTCCCTGACTTGTCTTCAATTTGTTCACTCCCTGACCCACTTTCCATCTCTTCCTTCCCTCGCAGCATCCCATCTTCTTCCTTCTGCTTCAAAAACAAAAAATCCAAATGGAAATCAAACGTAAGGAAAGTGGTAACAAGAAAGAGATTAAACAAAAACATGCAAAAAATAAAATAAAAGAAAAAACTGTGGATTCATCAATTACCATGGAAGGAAAAGGTTGAAAAGGCATGGTGGGGATGAAGTTGAAGTTAGAGTTCTGGATCGAGGAGGAGAAGAGAGTGTCTGAGTTCACTACTACGTTCCCTCCCATACTTGACATAACTTGGCAATCCCCATACATTCTTCTTGCTTTCCAAGACCAACCTCACCTGTGTTTGTACTATTTTGACGTGCTAAGAGAGATATATAAGATAACCAAACCAAAACTTACTTCAGATGAGCCAAACCTGTCTCTAACACCCCACAACAAAACTTTCCCATATCAGAATCCAAACAATAAAAAGCTTTAAACTATCAAAACATTCTCATTCAACCCCAAAAACACAAGTGTAAAATATTCCTAGACTAGATAACCAACCAACCAACCCACCCCAAAATCTTACAAAGATTTTTTAGCATGTCACATACGATAAGAAAAAAAAAAAAAAAAGTTTCGTTACAGCATATACCAGAAGGAGCATATGGGGAGGTTTCAGTGATCTCAGTTGAGTTGAGAGTGTTGAGTTGTGTTTACACAACACACGCACACAAAAGGGGACCCTCTTTTTCCTCTCGATCCCTCCTTATCCTAGTTTGATTGTGTTGCTCTCTCACATAATATAATGCTCACATTGATAGTACTGTGTTGTAATAAATCGGTTAATTGAATAATTTACTGTGAATGGTAAATGCAGGTCCACAGAAACCGATCAGCGCCACTTACTCCGTCGGCTGTTACATGCCACGTGTAAATAACTTAATGGTCATTCCAAACGTTTCCCACACCCTTTACCAAAGTCAAACCTTTTTTCCCTTTCAGCTCCCGTCACGCGCCTCTGCCTCCTTACAATCTACCACACGTAGAGACTGCATCACACGCGCCTTGCTGGCTCAGCTTTTATGTTACTTCTGTGCTGCATTCACAGCATATGGAACGAACCAAAAGAGTGTGTGGATTGGGATATCCTGCGTGGATGTGATAAGAAAAAGATTGAACCGTGTATGTATATTTTATACACTTTGTTTTTTTTTTTTTAATAAATTTAGTAGCTTTTATAAGATTATTTTTAAAATGGTACTAATAATGAGTTATATATTTTTTAATGAAATTTAGTAATAATATTAGTATTAAAAATAATATAAATTATAAAAATAAAATTTAATTTCAATTCAAAAAGTTATAAAATATTAGAAGATACTATTGTATAAACAAGTTATTTTTATTTGAAAATACTGTTTATTTTTTATATAACTCACTAAATTACATGAAGAATTTTAGTCGCTACAGTTTTTTTTTAATTTTAGCATTAAAATTTACTTCTTAGTTTACTATTAAATTTAAAATAATTTTTTAAAAGAATGTAAAATACAGTTTTGAAAAAAATGTACGAAATGAAAATTTATTATTGACAAATAAGTTAACTGTGTTTTTAATAATGATGAAGTGTAATTGAAACTTATAAGTAAGAATGAAAAATGGATAAATTTGAGAAAAATTTATTCTTACCAACTAAATTAATCATTGGGAATAATGTGAGAGTTGGTATAAATAAACTAAATTAACTATTCTACCATGAAGTATTTGATAAGAAAAAAATATTGTTTTTAAGTATATGGGGTTTGAAAAAATTAAGATTGTATTAGTTATTCTTTAATCAAATATATTCTTATTTTTTTGTTATATTTATTGTTAAAAAAGAAAAAATTATTAAGAGTGATTTTGGATAGTGAGGGAAAAATAAGATGATAAAAAATATTAATTAAAAAAATAACAATTTTGTTAAAAATAATGAAAATTAATATTTATCGTGGTCTCTTTAGTTGAATCTTAAAAATAATACATTTTGTAACGGAAAGAGTATTTATTTAAAATTGAATAAAATTAACCAAGTGTTATAAATAGAAAGGAAAACGTTAATGATAAAAATTTATTAAGAGGAGGAGAATATTAATTAGGTAAATAGGATAATGTACTTGTACTACTACGAAACAAAGCGTTGAGGAATTTCAGAAATTAAAAATAGGGGAAGTGAGAGAAAGTTTGACTTGTGACGCAAGAGGGGAGTTGAAGGGGAAGGAATCGAGAATGGTGATAAAGTAGTAGGGTCAAATAGACGAGAGCCGTTGATTTACGTTGGAGAATTGCAAATGGTGACTTATTTAATGAGGTTTGACACTGAAACCAGTGAGATCCAAGGGTGTCGCTTTCAAGTGGGGACCACACCATTCAGGGATTTTTATGGCCTTGGAAACTTAATTATGATCATTCTGCAACAAATTTAAATTTTGCATCATGAGGGGAGCCCAACTTTCTGGCTTATGGTTGGGTCAAATATGTCAACCATTTCTTAGTTCTTGTAAAAATGGGGGTTCAAAACCCTTGCAAATTCTCAACCCTTTCTTATTTCTTGGTTAAGGTTTGATTGTGGTAATGTTTCTTCATTTGGCATGATTCTTTTGTGTATTACGTTTTCGCAAATTAATTTGATTAAGGATCTCTCGACAAGCCAATAACACGCATTGGGTAGGTCAAAAGGTGCGAGAAAAACTGAAACTTGTCGTGGAAAATAAAACGTACTTCATTCATTCAAAGTCAATGTGTAACTTACCCTCACTTAATTCAGTAAGAGTTACTAAATGAAGTAAATTTATTGTCAATTATTAAATACCAAATTAAAATTAGCCGTATACGTGTAAAATCAATGAAGAAAATCCAATATTTATTATTTCTTTTATCACTGTTTATGAAAATAACGTTTACTATTTAGTGTTATTTTATTTGACAACGTAATTTAACTTCAATACATTTTTATTTTTTATTATTAAATACAAAAATTAATCTTTCTTCTGAAATTTATTGACATCTTTTAAAATATAATTTTATCATATTAATTAAATTTTAATTTTATTATTTCAGTATATTTATGAATTTTATATTAGTGATGAGATAAATTTATATATATCATTTTCTTTGTGTTTTTACGAACTAAAATTTTTAAATAAATAATAACTCAAAGATAATAATAAATTATAACGTGTAATTAATAACAAAAATGAGACAAATCATCTTATTTTTAGAATAAACAATTATATGTTAATAAAAAATTATTTAAATTTAGGTCAATCCATTAAAAAAAAAAACTGTTGTCAAGGATAAGAATACAGTTTTATTAATATTCATAAAAAATTTGTAACTGATTTTTGTAAAAAAAATATTTTGCTAATGGTGGTTAAGGAAATCCACGTTGTTGCCCGATAAAACTGTGATAAATATTAATTAGTAAGAAACTTTCATTAATGTTGGCCCTACAATAAATTTTGCCTTTATTGATAGTAAAAGAATAACTCCAACTGACATGATTAAAAAAAATTCAGTTGATATTAAAAAATATTAATGTTGACCTGTATTAGAAAAAAATCATAATATCAGAAAATATTATTATAATTAACTTTAACATAAGTACATTATTTAAAAAAAATAAGAGTTGGATAAGATTTTATCACTCATAATAATTCAATTAAAAAAAATATTAAGTTAGATTATGTTGAAATTTTTTATTAGAATTGAATTAACTTAATTTAATACTTGGATTGATTAATCGGGTTACATATTTTTAAAAATAAGTTTTGTTATTTAATTTTAAAACATTTTTAGATAAATTTGTTTAAAAATAATTATATTATTTAATATTTGAATAATATAATATTTCAAAAAATATATTTAATTATCATAAGAATTAAATAAATTAAATAATATATTATTAATGTTAATATTATTTAATAATTTTATCAGTAAATTGAGTTCAATATCTGGTAAATATACAAAATTTATCATCCAATTCGTAGAACATGGGATCAAGATTGAGTCAGGATACATCTAATTATAAATAAAATTCAATCTAAATTATTGAATTAGATGAAATTAAATTAGATCTTTGAGTTATCAAATTCAATAAACATACCTACTAAAAATAACTAGACTTTTTAATTGACTAAATAAATATCTATGATACAATATAATTTCTTTGTAACAAGATAAAAATTTATAAATGTATTGTTTTTAGTTTTAGAACAAAAAAAGTGAAACATAAAATTAGAAAAATTAAACAATTAATTTAAAATAAATCAAAATGGTCAAAAAACTATCATCGGGAGAGATCATGATCCTGGTTTAGTTTTATTTTTCAATTGTTTTGAGAAATCTAGAGATTAATTTTTAATAAAAATTTTAAAAAATAAGTTTAGAAAAATATTGTTTCATAACTGTAGTATAAATTCTGAATATACAATATATGACATTAAAAACGGTTGAAAACAAATTGATAACTTGTGATTATTATTAATGAAAACAGAAAATTAAAAATTTAAAAAATATATTTTATTAACATTTATTTGTTTTCGGTTTTCATTAGTAGTATTAGTTTTTTTTTAAATTAAAATATTTGTTGTTAACTATTTACTTAAAATAATTTTTAAATAATTGATCTGTTAAAATCATTTTTTTATTTTTTTAGTATTTCAAAATTATAAAACATTAAACTAATAATTTTTTATTATTAATAATGTTTTGATTTTTACTATTTATCAAAAAATTTTGTTAACTTTTATACGATTTTATTATTGTTAGTATATGTTATTTTAAAATAATTTGTAATCTAGAATTATAAAAAAAATCTACTTATTTAAAATTGGTCTTTAAATTTATATTTGAAAATCCAAAAATAATTAAATAAGTAGTTTTAGTTTTTTAATTTTAAAAATTAAAAAATAAAATTATCCAATCTAAGAATCGGAGTGTCTTAATTTTATGTTCATTGTGACAATATTATTAGGATAATTTTTTATATTTGAGTATTATTCATTTTAAAATTATAGTATATTGTAATTTTATCCTTAAAATTTGTTTTGGTGGATTAAAATAGTAAATATACACCTTAAACAATAAGAGATTCATAAATGTAATAAACATAGTATATACATCTCACTTTTATGTCATTAAAACATCTTTTAAAGATAAAATCACAATAAATTAAATTTTCAATGAACAATATCTCAAATGTAATAATCAATCCTAAGAAATATTATTATAGTGAACATAACATTGAAAACTCTTATTTCTAAAAAAATTATTTATAATTAAAGAATCTCTTTCTAATTATTATAAAAAATAAATAATATAAAAAAATACATAATTTTACTTTTGTTACCATTTTTAAATTTGTTTTGATTAAAATATTTTAAAACTTATTTTTTTAAAATAATATAAATTTTATTAGCTCCTTTTCAACTTAACACGTGTCAAAATTTCTATGAAATTCGTGCTTCTTTTTTTAATTGCTAGATGAGGTTAACTTTAATATTGTCATATTAGATGTTAGAAATTTTCCACCTTTACTAAAAAAAGTTAATAATGCAAAATTATATTATCTATTTATTATTTTTAACAAACACTTTTAATTGAATAGTCACTTTTCCCCCAATAATTAAAAACCTCAACTTAAGTTTTTAAAGGCTTACTCGCAATACAAGTGCAAAAAACTTAATTACAATATAAATTTCCCAGTGGTTGAATTATATGATAAAAAACTTATGATCAAAATTGTAATTGTAATTGTATTTTTAATTTAATAAATAATTTATTTTAAATAAAAATTTTCTAGTTTTTATTATGCATGAATAATATATATATATATATATATATATATATATATATATATATATATATTCATCAATCAATTAATAACGTAGTTACTAATTAAGATATGATTAAATAAAAAATTTATTTGTTAGAATCTTAATTTAGTATCGAGTCAAAATCTAACATCTTTCTAATTATTAGACCAAAAATTATCATTTCATTGTAGATCAAAGGTACTCGCAGAAGGTGTCTTAAAAGTCACACGTAACCTGTCTCATATCCTATTGAAGGGGACGTCTTGAATACATTATTCCATATATTACCCATGGTTCGTTTTTATGTTAAAACTTTAATATAATATTAAAGTCAAAGTGTAATATGTGTCCAATTATTAGATTTGTCTCATCTAATTATTGTATTTGTCTGATCAAGTATTTTATTTAAAATCATGGTGAAATAAGATTGGTAATTATATATTATCATGAAAACTTAACTTAATTTTTTTTAATTTTCAAATTTCAGATCATTGTGTGACAGACTAATAAGATTCATAAAAAAAACAAACAAACATGAATCACCAACAACAAACATTAACTTAATTAAGCCATTCCGTCTATTCTAGCTTTATTTAACCGTATATTTAAGAGACTAAAATAATATGTAACAAATTTAAGATTTTTTATTTAATTTAAAATCACGTTCATCCTTGAATTCAGACATAAAAACATAATTATGAATATATAATTATATAAATTTGAAAATAGATATGCAATTTGTTACGCCAGTAAAAAGTTTCCTTAATTTGACAGTGGCGTGAGGGTTTAAAGTAGAGGGGTTTTAGGATTAGGAAGAAGGAAGGTGCGAGGTGGAGTCTGTCGTAATCGAAACACAAAGCATGGGGAAGAATGAAGGAGATCTATGGGACGATTCAGCTCTCATCGCTGCCTTCGACCACGCTATTTTCACTTACAAGGTTCTCTTCTCTCTCTCTCTCTGTTTCTCATACCAAATAATTTCGTAACCGTAATTTTCACTATTCGCCATTCAAATTGGCTGTTAATCTCATAAATTCGCAATTTATTTACAGAAAATGCATATCAGCGGCAAGAACAAAGACGCCTCCGCTCAAGAGGCGGAGACAGTGATCGGAGAAAATGCCTCCAAAGTTGACTTCACAAGTTCCGATACTACAAGGTTCAGTTCAACTCACAGTAGTGAAGCAAAACACTCGATTGGAAGTTGTTTCTATCTTCTTCGTGTTTATTGAATAGTGTATATTATTTTATTTTATTTTTATCGAGCTATCGTGCATTGCGTTGTATTTCTCAAACGTCTAACAAGTTGTATCTGTATTATTATTATTATTATGCCCTACACTGGACAATTTTTGTGTTTGTTTGACCTTCCACTTCTCATAGTTGTACCATTTAGTGCATTAAACAGAACATAAACTGTATGCTGTCATGCCACCAAGAAAAAAATGTCTCAAATGAATTTTTACTGTAATACTGTCAAAGAGAAATTAGGTCAATGAATAGGGCTTGTAGTAGAGCGCAGTTGTTTTTATTTTTATTATTTTTTCACGCTTTATTTTGCTTTATTGAACTCAGGGATCCTGAAACGAATGACCATGTTCCAGCTACTTATGTGGCTGATTCAGGTGGGACTAGTAATGTGACAAAACTGAAAGAGGATCATCACACAGAGTCACTGTTGGGCCAACCTTGCCTAGATTCAACAAGTGGTCAGGGCATCCAGAGTGGGCAGAACGGTTATGCATATGCGGAAGGTGTAGATGACTATAATCAGTTAGTTGCGCAGTACTATGAACTTGAGGAGAAAAGGATGAAGATCTTGGAGCAACTCAATCAATATGGCTGTTTGAATTACCAAAATGTGGCTGCTACTTCTAGTTCTGGTGTACCATATTCTAATTCTGTAGATTATTCAATGGCTGCATACCAAGTTTCTGATCCAAAAGCTGTCTGTACATGTTGCCCGTGTTATAGTCAATGTCAGCCAGCACCATGCACGTCAATTCCTGGTTGTTCTTTGGGTGGATTATCTGTTGGCAAGCCTTGTAACAATCCTTCTGTGGAAATGGATCATAATAAATCATTTCCTTGTGAAGATGATAAAATCTGCAAAATAGCAATGGGAGCTGCAGAGAAGGCATTGTCTACTATTAGAACAACCATATCTGGCGATTTTAATGTAACTGAAGGTAAACCCAATACTTGAAGTAGCAGGTGCATGAATATGTTAGTTGTTAAATGAATTGAAAATTGGTTAGTATTACCATCATGTCATATATGCATAGGTTTTCTCATTTTTGTGCATTTGTAGTACTGCTGGTTGATAACCTGGAGGCATATTTTGTTACGTTTAAGCTGGCATCATCGAATTTTTTTCTCCCAATATTTTTATTTTTAGTATATTGTTTCTTGTTAGCCATAGTAATTTGGTTTGATGAATTAAGAAATTGATTATATTTTAGTTTGGCAATCATAACTTGCCACATCACTTGTTTATAAAGTTTAGTACCAACTGTTTTAATGTATCTTGGTTTTTGAATGATTAACATGTTGTATCATAATTATTTCCACTTTCCTCGTAGGGTTTTGTTCAGTTAGTTGATGGAACTGTAACAGTAACCAAATGCTTAATGTCCTTCCACCCTTTTATGTTCCTATGGCTTCATATTGTTATCTAGATATGTGGCTTTATTTCATTACTAATTAGATTTTTTTAGTGTATATGATAAGCAGTATAACTGTGTTTGCTATATGCAATTCAGGAAAAGAGATAATTAACTCTGAGCCTGAAGAAATTAATGGCCCTGAAACGGATCTTACTGCAGTTTTGAATGCTTGGTATTCTGCTGGCTTCTATACTGGAAAGTAAGTGTTAACGCAAGTTTCTTATTGATAAATGTTGGTTCATTTGTCATTCAAGAGAATATTTCTAACTTGCTAGAGGGTGTTTCTAAGATTTTTTATTATTTTAATAAAATATAGTTTTTTGGATTATTATAGTATTATTTAACTTTGGCTGTCCCAATCCTTTGACTACCACTTTACTCAAATCAAATTTACTTGTGTACCTCTCTCTCTCAATTATATCTGTGATTTCAGTTGTGAATATGGGCAAGCACTACGCACAGTCACATATATATTGAGGCGTAAAAACCTGAAGTTTTATCTGTCTTGTGCTATATATATAATTGTGCATTCAATTGAAAACTCATGATTGGAGTAAATGATTGTTGACACTTAGTATAATAGCAGTTATTGCTTCAAAAACTGTCCCGTTTGCATGATTAGGCGAGGGTTATCTCAGACAAACCTCTGCCTATATCTTCTTTTTCCTTTTTTATAATGATGGGTGTTATTATGATAACAGGTATCTTGTTGAACAATCCATTCAAAACAGACGACAGATATAAACTCATATATCTTCAAGTGGAATAAAAAAGTTTCTCATTCAACTGTACAAGTCCTTGTGATTATTTCTCAACAGTTGGGTAATTGATCTACATCTTAACATCTTGGGAAATCAGAATTGTGGTATTAGGATCTGATTGGATAGGCTGGCTCATCATAAATTTTGAAGCCCCGGTGCTAGTTTCCTTAGCAATATTTTGCTGGACATATTCAGGGAATGTTTTTGCTCTATGCTGCAGACATGAATTTGTTGTCCGATTTGGTTTTGAATGCACAACTTTAAAATGCATAATTATTTTAATGTCTGTATTTTAATAGTTGGGTATTAACGTGAGAGAAGTTACTTTTTAACTTCACGAGTTGAAAAGTAGAAGCGCAACCATGCTTGCGTCGATGCCACAGTTGAAGATCATTCCAGGTCTAGTTTTGTCCGTCCTATAATTTAATGAAGCTATTTCTATAGGATGCTTTTGAGTAAATAGTTTAAAGTTTAGTGCTTAGTTAATAAGTATGTATCATGTAAGTTTTTCTACAATTAAGAAATATTGTTAAATTGTTTTCTCAAATTACCTAGTAAAATAAGCTTAAAACAACTTACGGACAAGTAATTTCCATAAAAAGCAAAATGTGAATTGATCTTGTTAATTTTTTACACATACACCCAAAAGCACGGTTACTAGAATGACTAATGGTTGCTATCTCCATTATCCTAAGGAACTTTATTTCTTATACTTCCTAAAGAATTCCACTTTCCTACAAACCGTAGTTGTTAACGGACCAACTAAGATGAGTTTCGGAAGTGATAATCTCGTTATTATTTTGGTTAATTTTTTGCGTCATCCTGTTGCCTGCATCACTTATTAGACCTGAAAACATAGTGCGAAACTCGTTTATTACATTTAATATGTTCCTATCAACATTATCCCCACACGCTACTCAAAATATTTTGCTCCAAAAGCTACTGCTGCTATAAACGCAACGAGGAAAATGGCCTCAATGTAATTACTCCCTGTACAAATTTTGTAATTGCAGCTCTATCACGATTGACTTTACACTATGCGGGTCATACACGAATTTTATTGGCAGCTTCCTTGATCTGATCAATTGTAAAAATGCCAAAGAAGTCATCATCTGTGACACCATTGATAACTGCCAATGCAACGTCCTCAACACTAACAGGTGGTGCCAAGAGTAGATCAGATGCAGGAAGGGAGCTTAAAGGTTTAGTGAAGTTCTCTATTGCTCGTAGAACTTTTTCTGCTGGCTCCCCTACCAAATCCAAAGGAAGCTCAAAACCATCCACTCTCCTTTTCCCATATATGAACGCAGGTCTTAAGACAATACCTGAAGAAGTTAACATGACAGTTACAGATCAGGTTATGCTATTAGCTAGTAAGTTTTAGTTTAGAAGCGTTGAGTCCTTGTTAACAAATCTGGAATACCAATTTAATAAAAGACCATGACAAACTAGAATAATTACCTGAACTAGGGTACTTAGAGAGAACCTCAGATTCTGCTTTCCTCTTTCCCGTGAAGTAACCAGATGATAGTAAAAATGACGGTAAGTTATAATCATGAACTGAGATCAAGATGAATTTGGGAATTCCTGCAGTGCAAAAATGAGGTGAGAACAGAATAGCACGTTAATTTATTAATCCGTGGTTCCATTCATAAATTCAAAGCATCTCAAGAAGATATTCAAATAGAATGCAAGTATGTATGTAACCTTATTTCCTATATTTTCTATTAATTCATTACTCTGAGCAAGATTTCATTAATAATGTTGCATTGGTTAATTTCGCTAATCCTTCACCAGATCCATAAATATTCTCCAAAAAACAAAAGCAGAGCAAATTGCAGACTTCAACAGAGTGACAGATAAAGAATAACATCCCTTTGGAAGAAAGAACTCTAAAAATCACATGAATATCATCTCCTACTAGCATATTCGTAAATAATTGTGATCTTCTTGATGTAATGATACTATTAGACAATTCATTACATTTGTCCAAATAAAAGCTACCTACTGTATACAACAATTAAACAATTTAAATGAAGGTGATGCTTGCTTCATAAAGATCACCGAACATTGCTATCAAAAGGTTATGTCTTGCATTATGGAAGGGTATGTATGAAACTCTCCGTCTAAAATATAGTCTAACATAAATAGTGAAGGCCAAACACAGGTGAATTTAACAGCAAATTAATGCTCAATGAGATGGCTCACCGTATTCCTTTGCAGCATTCACAGCCACAACATTAGCCTCCCCATTAATTCTTTTCATCTGTTCGTCACTACCAAAACCTCCAAGTGTTGAAACCACTGTAGTAGCTCCAACAAGTACTTCATCCCAGTTTACATAAAAAACATCTCCTGCATATCAAGCAAAAAACTGAATATCCTCTAGAAGAAAACACTATATATGACTTGAAAAATTGATTATATGCCACAACAAATTATATTTTATATATTTCATAATTTACATTCAATGATATGGTTGTTATGTTAAAATGCTAACAAATCAACCCGAATAATTGATCGGAGGAATCATTAGGATCTCTCTTATCAGATCATACTACGTGTGTGTATCTCAGGCTAAATGATATACTCCAACAATTGCTAAGGAACCATAAAAAAGATAATATTGAAGATAACATTGGCATTACATTTAATTGGTAAAATTATAGTGTACTATAATCTGCAGAATTATTCAAACCAAAGGCTGTCTGTCATAGTCATTTCTGATTTTTCACGAATTCATAATACATCATTTTGACATCTATTCAATCAAATGGTTAATTTGAACTTCAAAACTGTAAAGCCATGCGCTGTGATTATGCCATGATTGTTGGGTACACCTGCATTGCTTTTATCAATCAAAGGAGATAAACATGAGCAAAATTCGAAAGGCAGCAGATAGATAGACAAAGTTCTGTAACACAAACACATTGGTTTACTGTATGAAGTGAGTGAATTTTACCATCATTATGAATCTTAATAATTCCCTGTTCTTCTCTACAAGTGATACGGTGTTTACTCTCACCCTACCCTCTTTCTGTGTATGCTTGGATTCCCTTAACCAATAACAAGAAAACAATGATGTATCTGTTTATTATTAGACTAAGTTAACATGCCTGCAATCCAAGTAACTTGATCTACCCAAGCATCGGAGTAAGTGGGTCGCCCTGACCTGTAAAGCCAAATGTTTGTTAAATAAACAAAAACAAAATTATAGAAGAGGAGACAGATAGACAGACAGGTGCAGGCAGGTAATTAGTTGAACATTTTTCAAACCTGCTTAGGCTTATGACTTCGATGCCCCTAGACACTGCTGCCTTGCATATGGCAGAACCAACAAAGCCATTCCCTCCTAAGACTACAATCTACAAAGAGAGACATAAACGCAAAAACTTTTATGTAAAAATATCCAAAATATATAATTTATGTCTCAAATTATTAAAAGAATAAGAAATTCATATATACCCGTTCACTTTTAACATCAGCCACAACATCTATGGTGTTAGATGTTGAATCAGCATTGATACCTGCTTCTGCATAACTAAAGGTAACGGCAAGCCTGCAGAGCAGCATACATAAACCATTAGACAACATGTCATAGATATTTAAAACCAGTCCTGGATCATTCAACAATCAAGACCCATTAAACAAAGGGGAAGCCAAACTTGGTCAATATTTATCACCATAGTTACATAACCCCCTCAATAACTCTGTTTATGTACCATGTAAGGTGTACCAAAATCACCATATCATGTTCCCATTACGCAAAGGGAAGTCAAATGCGAGCAATATTACTTACATAAATCCCTCAATAAACCAGTGTACCACATACCGCATACTGAATTCACGGTACATGGTAACCATCCATGACTATCACCAAATAACTGCCAACTTGGATCGATATATTGAAGCAGAGACAATCTAAACTTAATGTAACTAGTGTTTGTCACATGCAACACAGAAATTTGAGAATCATATTGAAAAAGTATGGACACCGCAGCACAAAATCACTACTTAAAACCTCATAAGAGAGAATGGGGAAGAGAAGTGTAATCTGTGACACAAAAAAGTACTTTCCTTGATCAATACCAAATTCTTATAGTTACAGTCCAATGTAAGCCATTGAACTTGTCAAATAAGTTAACCTACGGCATGCTGAAACTCCACCATCCAATTCTTACTTGACTCCCAATGTAACCTAAAAAGACTAAATTTTTTTACCGTCCCAAATCAAATATCTAAATCCTTAGATCAGAAACTAATCAGGCAATGACGAAAACCAGTAGCTTAAACTGCTTCACTGAACAATCCTGAAATTGAACTTACAACCCATTACTTTCAGTTCCACCATAAAACTCAAATTGACGAGCGTGACGTCACATCATTCTATCACCGAAGAAACAAAAACCCAGTAAACTAATTCGTGGCCCCATGTTCCGAACACCAGAAAATAGCAAAAAATAACAAGAACTTGAGAGTTATTTAAAAAATAAATAATAATCAAACCGGGAAAAAGAAAATGAAGGAGAAGAAATTGTGAAGTTGGAAAAGGGGATTGGACAACGAACCGGTGATTTTTAAAATGCAAGGTGGATGGAGTTTGAATGACAGGTCTGGTGAGGGAGAAGGCACTGGGAATGGGACGAGCGGAGACGGCAGGGAGAAGAGACAAAAAAGAAGTCATATTTGCTTAGACAGTTTGGCAGCTGAGAAGAAGAACGAAGAGGGAAGAAGAATAAAGAAATGAAGTATGAAAAAAGAGACAAAAACAACCTAAATTTGTAAATTTTGAAACCACTCAAATTTGTTAAAAAAATTAATAACTCATTATCAATAAATATCTATTCAATAATTTTATTTATTAATAAAAGAATAATTTTTAATTGATTTATTTTAAATTAATCACTTTCTAAATATAATATTAAATAAAATTATATAACAATATATTTTTATTGTGGTATCAAAATATGAATCATCAATATTTATTCAGATATCCTCAATTTTTGTCTCTCACAAAAGACAAACATTGATGTGTCTGCCAAATTTTTTAATAACTTTCTCCTCTGGTCAGATTTGTCTAAAATGTATTTTAAAATTATTAAATAATTAAAAAAATATTTGAGAAAATTGATTTAAAACAATAAAGTAATTTTTTTTATAATAAATAAAATTGTAATATTATGTTCAGAAAATAGTTTTCAAATGAAGACTTTGAATATTATTTTAAAAATTTATTAAAATTATTCATTGAATTATATTTGAAAATAAGAGTAAGATATACTTTTTATTAAGTTAGTAATGATACTATAAAATTTAATAAATGTTAAAAAAATTTAAAATTATAAGTTTATGATTATATTTAATTTATTTAAGTTTAATGTAATATTATTTTTAATATGAAATATTATCAATATGAATTTAAAGTTATTAAAATTAAGATAAATAGTTAACTTATTATAGTTTAAAATATATCAATTAATTTAAAAGTGTTTAAAGTTGATAATATGCAAATGTTGTTATTAATTTAAATTAATGTTATTGTTAATATTAAATCAATAATTTAGAATTATAATTAATTTTATTTTTTAATGTTAATAATAAAAACTTAAAATAAAAAATAAAAATTAAAGGGGTCAATTTATTTATCTTTTAATTCATAAAAAATATAATAAGATAGACTAATCATCATAATTAGAATCGTCTATACATATTTTTTATATAAACATTTATATATATTAAATATATTTTTAATTATATAAATTTTTATTTATTAATTAATATATTTATTAGATAAATATTAAAAAATTATTATATTTATGTTTAAAATATTTAATTATAATTATAATATATTTATATATTCTAATAATATAATAAATTAATATTTTTATTTTATTTTAATAGGTAAATATCTCAAGAGCTGCCAAATTGTCAAATTAGATGAAACATACTAAATTAAATGAGAAACTAACTATTAATTCATATGAGAAATTAAGTTATCTATTAACTAACCCATTTTTTTCGATCCTAATAGAAGTAACATATAAGAAAAATTAATATGAAATAAAAATACATTAGAAAATAAACGCAGGACGAATCTAAATACTTTTCACGTGTGTGACATTTTTAATTCATTATATATGCATTTTTTTTTACTAAATTAAGTTTAAAATGACAAAACAATGTGAGTTTACGTGACTTCGGTCCGTCCAGAGTAGTTGGTCAGAACAATATATTTAATATAGTATTAAACTAGATTTAATCTCCCAGGTTTAAGGAAAAAAAAAAATGGGTGATATTTTGATAATCATAAACCATACAACTCTTTAAATAACTCACTTTTATTAATATAATAATCTATAAAATGATTGAATAAAAATAAAAATAAAGTAAAACTATTATTATAAAATTAGAAGTGAGTTATTTATAGAAGTTTTATGGATTTGGATTCTCAAAATATCATTTAAAAAAAAAAAAAAAGTCTACCAAAATAATAATATACAGTGGCGGAACTAGGTCCACTGTTACCAGACCAATTTTTTATTTTTATTTATATATATATTCATCGTCCCCAAATCAATTATATATATATATATAATTATTTTTAAAATAATTAAATAAAAGTTATTTTATAAATATAATTAAAAAATTTATTTTTACTTTTATTTATAATAAATCTCATATTTATTTATTTACATAATTTTTTATTTACATTTTTTTTCTATTTTTAAATTTTTATCTTTTTCCTTTCACAATTTTATTTTCTCAGTACAATTTCTTTTAGACATTTGTTTTAGCTTTTCACATTTCTATATTTTATTTTTATCATTCATTTATTCTTTTTTTTTCTTTCACAGTTTCACACACTGTAAAAATGGTCAATTTTGTTCTTTAATTTCAAATATTTTTTTATAATTTCATCTTTATAATATATATATATATATATATATATATATATATATTATTATGATTTTATTGTCTTCTTTTTAAAAAGATATAATGTAAAAGTTAAAAAATAAAGAAGATACTTCTATTATTTTTTTTAAGTAAAAAATAATATAAAAATGAATAAGATATGTATTGTAATATAAAAATATGAAATATTGATATAAATATTTTTATTTATTATAAATTAGTTAGATATTTTAATATTTTATGATATTTTATTTTGATGTTGTATTGTGAATAAAAAAAATATCAATTTGAGCTTTAAAGATATGTGAAAAAAAAATTATAGACTATTTTTTTAAAAAAGAAAAAGGATAAATAAAATAAACTTTATTTTCTAAAATTTAAATTTAATTAATAATATTAATTATATAACATATTTTTTATATGATAATTAAATTTTATATGATGATAAGATAATGATAAAAAAATTATTTATATATTAGAAATAAATTAATTAAGCACTATAATTATAAAAAAACTATCTTAGTTCGAAGTTATATCTCATTCTCATTATATATAAATATTCAAAATCACGTACATTTGACTTTAGTATTAAAAGACTCGTATTATGTTAAATTTATATTTAAAAATATATATTTATCACATTATTTTTAGTAAAGAATATATTCAACATATGTATATAATTAGAATATGTTCCATTATGTTAAAAAGTAAATCTTTATAGATGAATTGCTAAATATAGTCTTTTTTCACACCAAAAACCTAAGTTATAGAAATTTCCAATATCATTAGAGTTATAAAATCTACTTCAAAAACTCATTAATTCAATACATCTCAACATAATATGCATATAATAACATAATACATATCATTTTATGTTTATAACATGTATTATAACATCTCAAGTTATATACATATATATAATTTTTCATGATACAACAAAATATCCCAAGTCATATAAATATCATTTTTCATGATACAACAAAATATTATAGTTTTTAAAGTATATTTTTGTCTCATAACTGAATGACAACTCTTGAACCAAAATATTAATTTTGATATCATGTTAATGTTCAAACATAAAATTAATTAGTAGTATGAGGAGTCGTCTAATAAGTATTTAAATCATATCACATGGTGTGATGTGAGTGATGTGAGACTTTCAATAGTTTGAGCAAAAATACACTCGAGATAAGTCTAATTTTATTGAGAGTTTTTCGTTCGAGCGAAATATTTTTTTCTCAAGTGTAAATACACATGAGAAAAGTCCTTAAATTTGTTGCACATTTTGCTTAAACGAAATATGCATATAAATTTGCAAAAATACCCTATAAACGAGTTTCTAGACACCAAACATTGTCTTTTAAGAGTTTAACATAATTTTCTTCTAAAGCATATTATATATAGTTTTAGGTTATGAATCATAGTGGGACTTAGAATCACCTAACTCACTCTGTGAGGAGAAGACCACTTTGTCTCACTGCAGATCAACTTTCGACTCTGATATCACTTGTTGGGTAGGGTCTTTCAAGGGGGTTCGCAGGGGAGAAACAACATAAATGAGATATTAGTCCAACTAACATAAGGGATTGATATCACTCTCAATCTAAAACCTTAAGACATTGGATTATGGGTCATACTTCTTTATATGTTGTTCAACTTTCTCATTTTTATTCAATGTGGGACTTAGAATCATACTTAGATTCCCAATAATCTCCCCCTCAAGTATGAATTCCTCCATATTGGTACATCTCTCTCAAGCACACTAGTGACTCTTCCATATACCGTCGTTAACTTTAACGGATTAAGGATAAACAATACTAATGAGATATTAATCCAACTCACATAAATTGACATCACTCTCAACATTTCTCTCAAGCACACTAGTGACTCTTTCATGTACCGTTATTCACTCTAATTGATTGGGGAGAAACAACACCAATGAGATATTAACCTAACTCACATAAGAGATTGATACCACTCTCAACTAAAAATCTTAAGACATTTGGTTCTACTTCCTCATATATTATTCAACTTTCTCATTTTTATTCAATGTGAGACTTAGAATCACATTTGCATTCCCAACAATCTTCCCCCTCAAAAGCACACTGGTGACTCTTCCATGTAGGTTATGTGTCTACTTTCTCGTATGTTGTTTAACTTTCTCATTTTTATTCAATGTGAAACTTAGAATCAAACTTATATTCCCAACAATCTTCCCCTCAAAAGCACAATGGTGACTCTTCCATGTAAATCCAACAATCTTCCCTTCAAGTGTTAATTCATCCATATTGGTACATCTTTCTCAAGCATGCTAGTGTATCTTTGACTCTCCCTCAAACACACTAGTGGATCTTCCATCTTCAAGTGTGAATTCCTCCACATTTTTAAGGGGGTTCACAGGGGAGAAACAACATCAATGATGGTTATGGGTTATGAGATTGATACTACTCTTAACCAAAAATCTTAAACCATTGAGTTATGATTCATACTTCTTTATATATTGTTCAATTTTTTAATTTTTATTCAATGTGAGACTTAAAATCACACTTAGATTCCCAAAACATTTCACACATCTTTCTAGCATTATTAATCTAATTTAATTAATTCATTCAAACACATTTAAATATCAATAATTAATTTTACTACCATCACACATCAAGTACTCTAACAAAGTCACTTTCACAATTCAAATAATTTATCTTAACATGTTAAAGAATTTTCTAATAGTTTTCCCTTATCTTTTAAATTAATTTTATTCAAATTTGAAAGCCTCAAATTTATAATTTCTTAGAAAGTCATATTTTATCCACAAATCCCCCTAATTAATAAATTAAATGTATCATAATGTTCTTAAACCAGTGAAAATCTGCACAAATATCACTTACAAGAGTTATGATCTACATATAAACTCTAGTCATAATTTGCAGAAATAATTTAAAATTGGACAAAAAAAAATTACTCAATTTAATATTTTAATAAGATGAAAATGTTTCCCTATGAACATAATGACGTGCTTAATTCTTAAAAAATATGAGAATTGGGCGAATGATTCTATATAAAAGTTAGAGAATTTAAAATTTAGAAAAATAATGATTTTTTAGAAATAAAGCTTAAAATATGAAAAAATTATATTTAAACAAAATTTTATTTTGAACTTTACTCAATTAAACTAACCATTCTCTCAACTACTAAATTTTTTATGATAAATTAAGATAAATCTTTATAGAGAATATTTTTGAAATTATTTAATGGGTAAAAGTATGTAAAAAAAATTAATTTTATATATTTTACTAAGGAAATAAATATTAGAGTGAAACTTTATATTTAACTGAATAACAATTGTACTCAAAGAAAAAAAATCAAAAGTAAATTATGATTTCTAAACTATAATAATATTAATATTTAATTTGTCTTTTTTTTTCAATTTATAGTTTAACTTTTCATTTTATTTTGTTTTATGGTAATTATTGTAATAATGATAAAATATTTAATTTATTATTTTAAAGAAATGGATCTATCTTCCTTTTTGTCTTATATATATGGGTATGTTTGATTAAAAAAAAATTTCAAACTTAACGAGACCTAAATTTTGGTTAGAGCAATGATATTTTGATTACTCTAATTCAAACAATTCTTCTCCCATCTCTTTCTATTAATATAATAACAGTAAAATTTTTAATAAAAATAAAAATAAATTAAAATTATTATTATTATATAAAAAGTGAGTTATTTTTTAAAGTTGTACCAATTCGGGTGGTCAAAATATAATTTTTGTTTTGGTTAACATTTTGTATTTTCACTATGTTTTTTTGTTTTTTACGAAGTCATTTGATGGGTTAGGGCCTGAGCCCAAGAGACATAAAAAAATGCAAATTTTTGAGACGTGATTTGGCAAAGACGACTTTAGAGTTTTGTGCGTTGAAATTGGAGTTTAGAGAAGAGCAGAGTGCAGGTAGAAGAGAAAAGAGGGTTTCTGTTGTGCACTGACAAATCGCGAAGATCTGAGAGAATGGCGAGGTCTAGCAGCAAGGATGCACAAGACCTTTTCCGCGCTCTTTGGTCTGCTTATGCCGCTACCCCCACCAATCTCAAGGTTCCTCTCTTTCCGTCTCCATACATTCAACTCATTTCTACAATTTTTTTCTAACCCCATTTTTGCTCTTTCTTTCAGATCATTGACCTCTACGTCATATTTGCTGTTTTCACCGCTGCCATTCAGGTACTTTCCACTACTTTCATTGAATTTTGTGTTTTTATCCCTTTTTTAAATCAAATTTGCTCACCCAATTGCTTATTCGAATATCAATTGAGCGCGAGTTCAGTCTGCTTTGACTCGATGGATTTGAGTTTTACGCTGTTATTGGCCATGTCAACGTGGTAAATTGGAAACTAATAATGTTCCTAGGGGAAAAGAAATTTGAATTCAGAAGATCTAGCCCTTGTTGTTTACTGTTTTCTATAATTTGATTATTCCTGAGCACATTTAAAATGTTTGTTCCATGAGCACATTTCTGTTTTCAAGTTTGTCCTCTAAACACTTAACAAAGTACTAAAGAAATCTGAGGAAGAGAATGAGAAAACATCTCCCAGCTGTTTCTGTTTTACGGTTTTTAGAACACTTGTTTTGAGAACACTTTTTTAATTTAGTAATTTGGATGAGAAATTGGTTGCTGAGTAGAGTTGAATTCTCTTAGAAAACAATTTTGAAAATAATATAAGTGGAAGGGAATCAGACGGGCCTGATCATGGGAAGCAAATATTTTTGGGCTATTACTATGTGTGGTCGTTGGCACTATTTTTTTTATTTACTATATATATATAGCCATTTCTGCATCTGCTGAATGGCAGATCCTTCTTGACGTAAGAATCAAAGCTCAAGGAATGGTTTTGGTAGTCGATTAGCCTCTGATCTGTGTTTACTGAAAATAGAAGCAGAATTTGTTTGTTGGTATTCGTTTAGCAGAGATTGTTCAATGGTAGATACATTCTTCTCTTAATAATCAAAACTCAAGGAATGATGTTGCTATTCTATTAGCATCTGATCTATGTTTACTGAAAATAGAAGCAGAATTTGATTGCCTTGAACAAGGGTCTCAAATGTGCATTCACAAATCCCTCCTATTATGGCCTAAGAGAGGAGGATTGCATTAAGCTAGCTTGTGCCTTAGATGTTTTGTACAGGCATTGAGTGTGGGTCCAGGAATTGCCTCCAGAAATTTGTAATCCTGTTGCTTTATTGGATATTTTTGCTGCTTGTAGTTTTAGAAGAAAAATGTACTGATGAATTTTTTATTTTTCGGTGAGGGTTCAAAACTGTTTAGTGGGTTTATGTTAAGGTGCATTTGTCGAAACTCAAGTTCTTATTTTTTGTTTGAGAACAGGTAGTTTACATGGCTTTGGTGGGATCGTTTCCATTTAACTCCTTTCTATCAGGAGTACTTTCTTGTGTAGGAACTGCTGTTCTTGCTGGTAAGTGTGCTAGTTCGATCACAATTTGCAGACTAGCTTGTTATGTACATTTACACACACGTACACATTTTTGTACACTATGAGCCCTCTGAGTCTACTAGATACATATGCATAGCATAGAACTTATAAACCTGGTACAACCATATGTATAAATTTTGTTCTTGTCTAACTTATCATTGTCTTCCTCCCTTCATTGTGGACCAGTTTGTCTCAGGATCCAAGTGAATAAAGAGAATAAGGAATTCAAGGTAAAAAATATTGTATTGTCTATTTTAATCTTTGAATTGATATATTCAAATTGAGAACCTGCATATATTTCAACAACCTGGCTAAATGATGTAGTTTCAAACTTAGACCCCTACATCTTTAACACGACAAATCAAAGCAAGAAGGAAATTAATTCATATTTTGTGTATGTTTGTTCACTTGATTATTCTAACACATATTTGACTTTTCATCTTACTACAGGATCTTGCACCTGAGCGAGCTTTTGCAGATTTTGTTCTCTGTAATTTGGTGCTTCATTTGGTGATCATGAACTTCCTTGGTTAGTTCGGGTTCATGTGGCCGTTGTTGGATTTGATTGAACCCGTGGATAATAAAAATTTATAGTAGTATACATTGACTTTTGTAATAGTATTTATAGACAGCAACTTCCAACTAACTGCTTTAGTTTTTTGTTGATTCTCCCATTCTGGGGTCTGTGTTTTGATCGTAGAGATTTTTCCATATTTTGAAGTTTACTTTTGAATGGTGAATTAAGGAAATTATTATTATTCACATGGATATCTAGAGCTGAGTACTACCCAAAACACTCATACCAGTTGCAATTTTCTTTTGAAAATAAATAATCAGTGGTCGCAGAATGCTGCCTGTGTGTCTCAATCACAAGGAATCTACAATCTTTTTCTGTGAGGTCAAATTTTCGGGCATGACAGGACACCAAGGAATAAAGGATCTGATGGGGTTGGGGGGATGAGTGGGTAGTTTAATTGGTATATTGCTGGCCATGGCGAGGCCTCCAAAAAGAGCAAACGAGCTGTTGTATGCTGTTAGCATATGCCATGATATACTGATATGAATATGAAAACATTAAGTTATATGTGTGGCCCATAACCAGGATCTATGACACATTACTTTATTGAGCAAAAAGATTCAGGAACTCATGCGGCATGTAATTCATCAAAATGCATGTCAATATTTTTATTATTAATCAGTTCTGTCAGTTTTTTCTTTTCTTTTTCAATTTGTTATTTCATTTGTAAGATATTTGTTAGTATTGGCGTGGAACTGTGTATAACTTGCTCTTAATATGTTGGGTAGTTCTAATAACGTGTGGTCGAGTCAGTTTATTTCACTGTATGGGGTTTTATACAGCTGTTTTATATTGTTAAATAAAAAGGCAATGCCATTGACAACTACATCGAAGTAGCCATTGATACATTTGTCTTGCTCATCCACCATTTGTTAAAATTAGTTTAACAATTGGTATCGAGCTCTGAAGGGGCTTGATCTAATTCGTGAGTGAGTGATTTCTTAGAAGAAACTTAAGCAATTCTTACTATTAATCTAGTGTGATATTAGCCTTTAAATTTGTGCAACCTGTCATTCCTAAATTTGATAGTCATTATAACTTTTGGTCAATGACCATGGAAAATTTCCCACCAAGCAAGAAGTTGTGGAGTCTAGTGGAGGATGGTGTACTCACACCTGGGATTAGTCTACGACCTTGTGGTGAGGTTTAAAAGAGAGTTGTGGAGGAAGTTAAACTTAAAGGCTTTAAGGGTCAATTTTTGTGATTAGTCTAGGACCTTGCGATGAGGCTCAAAAGAGAGTTGTGGAGGAAGTCAAATTCAAAGACTTGAGGGTCAAAATATTTTTGTTTCAATCCATTGACAGAGAAATATTGGAGAAAATTCTTAATAATAGCACATCATGGGCAATTTGGAATTCTATGAAACAGAAGTATCAGGGGTCTACAATAGTGAAATGTGCACAACTCCAAGCATTGAGGAGAGAATTTAAGCTATTCATAATGATAGAAGGGAAAAAATAGAAAGTTTTTTGAGATGCACCATGATTGTGGTGAGCAAAATGAAGTCCAATGGAGAAGTGATGGAACAAAAAACTGTGGTGAGTAAAATACTGAGATCTCTAACACCTAAATTCAACTATGTTGTTTGTGCTATAGAGGAATCAAATGACATCAATATTCTTACCATTGATAAGTTACTCGAGAGTCTATCGGTGCATGAGTAATACAGGAGAAAAAACATGTGCTGAAGGTAACCCATGAGGACATTAGCAGTAGAAGTATTCAAGAGGAGCGACCTAACAGAGGCAGAAGTCGTGGTGGGCCCAAGGAAGTCACGACAGAGGGAGAGGAAGGTCGTCATTCAACAAGGTCACCATTGAGTGTTTTAAGTGTTATAAGCTCGAGTATTTTCAGTATTAATGCTTTAAATGGGAAAGGAAAGTCAATTATGTTGAGATTGATGATGAAGAATAAATTCTCTTGATGATACATGAGGTGCAACAGACGTAAGATGGCAAACAGTTGCAATAATCATATGACAGGAAATAATACATGATTTCTGAATTTGGAGGAAGAACATTCTAGGACACTAAAGCTTGGAAATTATACTTATATGGCGGTGACAACAAAAGGTATTATCCGGATGCATGTTAATGGCATCACTCAGGTCCTGTCTGAAGTCTATTACATTCTTGAGCTTAAAAATAATTTGTTGAGTATCAGACAACTACAAGAAATGGACTTAGTCATTCTGATTTCAGATGATTCTTACAAGGTGTTTCATTCTACAAAGGGATTGACTATGAAAACTAAGATGAGTGGGAACAAAATGTTCTATGTGACAACATCTATGGCTCCAACATAGTCATTATGCCTTCAATCAGAAACTGCCAATGCTAGAGCCTATTTGTGGCCTTGTTGTTTTGCACACTTGAATTACAAAGCTTTAAGCATCTTGTTTGACAAAGAAATGGTAGTAAGTCTACCTGTTTTGGCCTATCAGTAGAAAATATGTCATACATGTTTAACTAGAAAACAATCTAGATGTTCGTTTCCAAGCCAAAGCACCAAGAGAGCATCTAAATGACTACAACTATTATATTAAGATATGTGGCCCTATTTAGCTAACCTCCCACACTAATAAGAGGTATTTTCTAAGTTTTATTGATGATTTTACTAGGAAAACGTGAGTTTATTTTTTGCATGAGAAATCAGAAACACTAGCAAAGTTCAAGAAATTTAAGGCATTGGTTGAAAAAGAGGCAGATGCACACATACTGTGTTTGTAGATAGATCGAGGTGGAAAGTTTCTCTCGAATGAGTTTAAAGAATTCTTTCACACACAAGACATACAAAGACAGTGAACTACCTCTTACACTCCTCAGTAAAATGGTGTGGTTGAAAGGAAAAATATAACGATTATGAATGCAGTTCGTTCTATGTTAAGTGAGAAGCAAGTTCCTAAGATGTTCTGGTCATAAGCTGTAAAATGGTGTGTGCAACGGTAGCTGTAGAGGATGTTACTCCAGAAGAAGCCTGGAGTGACAAAAAACTGGTGGTGGAGTATTTCAGAGTCTTTGGGTGTGTAGCTCATGCACATGTCCCAAACCAGAAGAGAGTAAAACTGGATGACAAAAGCAAACAATGCATTTTTCTAGGAGTCAGTGATGAGTATAAAACATGGACGTTATATGATTTAGCCGCAAAAACTGTGATAATTAGTAGAGATGTAATCTTTGAGGAGAAGAGTTGGGAGTGAAACAAATTAAAGCTACAAAATCAACAAGAAAAGGTGATATATGAAAATACAAATGATACTACAACAACATCAACTGGTGCTGATTACAATGAGGAAGGGAGCAACACAAGCCTAGATAGTACTTCACCATGTTCATCTCAAGGGAGGGTGCATCAGCAAGGAACACACCAAGGTGGTTGGCAAACTATGACACAGGTGCAGGACTATCAGAAGAAGAAAATTTGGCACTAATACTAATAATCGAAAATGACCCTGTATCATTTGAAGAAGCTGCAAAGAGTAAACATTAGAGAGAAGTCATGTTAAAGAAATAGAAATTATAAAGAAGAATCATACATGGGAGCTCACGTTACTACCGAATGGAGTTACATCGATTGGAGTCAAATGAGTTTTTAAAACCAAACTAAATGTTGAAGGGAAAGTAAAAAAGTACAAGGCAAGGCTTGTCACAAAGGGTATACATAAAGACATAGGATTGACTATACAAAAGTTTTTGCTAGATTAAATACCATTAGATTGATTTTGGCTATTGCTGCTTAATTTACTTGATGTCAAGTTCTTCATGGAGAACATAAAGAATGTCTTTGTCTTACAACCTGAAGGTTTTATCAAGAAAGGGAAAGAAGAGAAGGTATATCGATTGAATAAAATATTGTATGACCTTAAATAGGTACCTTGGGCTTGGTATCACAAAATTGAGACCTACATTGTACAAGAATAGTTTGAAAAATATTCCAGTGAACACACATTGTTCACTTGATCACAAGGAGGTAAAACCTTAATTGTCAATTTATATGTTGATGATTTGATATTCACTAGGAATGATGGAATTATGTATGAGGAGTTTAAGCAATCTATGATGACTCATTTCGACATGTTTGATTTGGGAATAATGAGTCACTTTCTTTGCATTGAGATTAAACAATATTCAATTGGAATCATCTTTGTTTGTCAAAGGAGATATGCACATGAAGTTTTATCTAGTTTTGGAATGCAAGACAACAATGTTGTGAAGAATCCCATGGTGTCAGGGATTCAACTATCAAGGAATACAAGGAAACGAGGTGTTGAAGAGACTTTGTTTAAACAACTAGTCGGAAGTCTAATTTATTTAACTGCCACCAGACCTGATATGATGTACACAGTGAGTTTACTTAGCAAATTCATGACTAATCCTATTATAACACATTGGTTGACAACAACACAAATTTTGTAGTATATTAGAGGTACAATTAGTTTTGGAATCTGGTATAAGAAGGGGACTAACAGTTTTAGACTACTAGCATATTTGGATAGTGACTACGCTGAAAACTTGGATGATAAAAAAAAACACTTTTGAATATGTGTTTATGCTAGGGATAGTGGCGATTTCTTGGACATCCAAGAAACAAAATGTGATAGCTTTGTCCACAACAGAGGTGAAATATATGGAAGCAACTCTATGTGCTTGTCAATGTGTTTGGCTGAGCATATTACTAAAACAAATTGGACTTAAGGATACGACTGAAGTTGAAATTTGGTGTAATAACAACTCTACAATACAGTTGTCCAAACACCTAGGGTTTCATGGGAAAAACAAATGTAAGATTTCATTTTTTTTTTGAGACTTTGTGAATGATGGAGCAGTCAAACTATGTTTTTGCAGCTCTCAAGATCAACTAGCAGACATTATGACAAAACCACTAAAGTTAGACCAATTTGAAAGATTTGGACTATGATTGGAATAACTAATATAGATGCATTAGTTTAAGGGAGGGA